CTAAGACAGATGAATTGTTTCAGAAGTAATATACAAGTAAATTTAGAGATGTGGTCCCAATAGCGTAACAGTAAGCGCTTTGTATTTCCATGCTGGCGATCCGGGTTCAATCTCCTTTGTTTCCATAAAAAGTTTTATCTCTTTTTCAGCTCGATTTTGTGAGGGTTTTTTTCAGAATCGGACGGAAGACTCTCGTTGCTCGCAACGAGTTTCTTTTCTAGTTATTATTATTTTTCTTCTTCCTGGGAAAATTTTGTCCACGAATGATCTTGTAAACTACACATCCGACTAAGGTAAAATATTTTTAGGGTCAGTAGACATGTTATGTAGATTTGCCAAACGAAGGTCATTTTGCGCGCACGTGCTTGCAAGAGCGCGCACGTGCAACACATGAAATGACCAATATAATGAATATTGCTGTAAATTTTCATTTTCTTGATGATTTTTTTTTGAAACTCATAATGTAAGGATACATTAGTAGTATAGACAAGATGGCGTGGTCAAAATAGCAAGATCTCACGCGCATGCACGTGCGCTTCGCTCTGATTGGCTGAAACTAAAGTCTCAATATCTTTCTTGTTTCTTGTCATAATCTTTTGAAATTTTGGACATAGTCCTACATTATGAAGATCTACAGCATTATATATAAAAATTTTCATGAAAGCATGCGCATGCGCTCGTGCTGCAATCAGATTGGCTGAAACTTTAAATGGCTATATCTCCTTTGTTTTTTGACGAAATGCTTTGAAATTTAAAACATAGTCATGCATTAAGATATCCTAAATTATTATGCTTCCTGTCAGTTTGTCTCTATATAACCCATACCCTACTATTCTCGCATAGTGGTCTAAGGATTTATATAGCGTAAGCATACTATGCCGAAATAGTGCACAGCCTTATTTTGTGAATAAAATTCTTCAATTCACACACCGGGAATCGAACTCACCACCATAACGTTGCCAGTCCGATGCCTTATCGATTACGCCACAGAGACGATCACTGATTGGAAGAATTTTATTAAATATATAAACTTAATTAAAACAATTGACACAAGAAGGAGAAAATAGACAAATATTATTTGAAAACAGTTATATTTATTCTAAGGAATCTTAGATAAATGTGTACAACAAAGTTTCAAACTAATTACATACAGATCGTTAGATGAATTGATATCATGGGGTTATTAAAACGCTTTTTTATATAGCGCTTGATTGAAGGATGTAAAAGAAAATTATCAATGTGAATCCACTTCTGTAAACAAATCAGTCTTACTAACAAAACAGAAAATAAAGAGAGTATCTTTGGGACAGAAAATTCTGACTTATTTAGAGAAAATACTAGTAACCAAAATAACTAAGCATGCAACTAATTTTAGCATGAAGATTTTGAATGAGTTTTTGCAAGTGCGCTGTGTTACCACCTTTATTTTCAGGAAAAAATCAAATGGATTGCCGCATAAATAATAACAACAGTCAGCATAATAATAACAATAGTGTTGCATTATTCATGTACTATGCCTAAATAGTAGGTAGGGTTTGACACATAGTGCACTCGCCTCCGGCTCGTGCACCATGTGTCAAACCCTGCCTACTATTTAGGCATAGTACATGCATAATGCAACACTATTATATAAATATGATATAGAAAAAATTTATGAAATCACGCGCATGCACGTGTGCTTGAATCTGATTTACTGAAACTTTATATGGCTATATCTCCTTTGTTTTTTGACGAAATGTTTGGAATTTTAAAATATAGTCATTCATTTAGATATTCTTCAATACGATAAAGATAAAAATTTATGAAATCACGCGCATGCATGTGTGCTGTAATCTGATTGGCTGAAACTTGAAATGGCTGTAACTCCCTTGTTTTTTAACCAAACAGGATGGGATTTAGAACATAGATAAATATAAGGGACTTCTACAAAATGGTGTAGTCATTATGCACGTGCTTCCGCGTGCGTGCACGTTAAATGAGTAAAATTAAAAATACACTCGAATGAGTGAATTTTTTCATACTTTTGGATTAAATGCTTTAATATTAAGTATATTAAAATTTGAGATATTGTAGACAAGATAATATGATAATACGATAATATAAGATAATACGTTACGCACATGAACACGCGTGCAATGCCTGTTTTTAAATATATTTTGTATTTCTCTAGGAAGATCTTGATTAAGTCTAAATTCCATAAAGTGTTTCTTATTTAATAGAGATTACAGGGAATATGGCACCAAAAGGAAGTTGGGGAGCGTTTGGGGAACATCTGTAACGGTCCCCGTTACAATTAGCACTAGTTTATCGTGGGAATGGTTGTAAAACGTGTGAAAAGTCTAACGTTTTGATCTTATTGATTTCGTTAATATATTTTTATTCCAAATTTTCTAAAAGTTCCTTTGAGTTTTTAGGTATCCACATTTGATTTATACCACTTCTCAAATATACTTTCGTACAGTACTCGTGAAGTTTCTTCTTTATTTGTTGTTAATATTTTAGTGAAAAGTAGAGAAAGAGGCTTGGTACAACATTTACTGTAACCTGCTATATAAGTATCTTTGTTTGTAAGGACGTTTATGAAATTTTGGAATCCAGTGTTGGTATTGTTATTCAAGCTCATTTTGATTGTTGAGAATAATAAAATATTTAAAACTTCAAAGGTCAACATGTCCAAAAATTTATTTTTACAATAACTCCAAAACTATGATATGTTTAAAGTTAAAACTTTTACAGTTTATAAATTTTTCATTGATTAACAGATAGAAAGTATCACTTGATAAAAAATACTTGGAAAAAAATTTGAATTGAGAAAAAATCTTTTGTAAAATGAATATTTTTTCAGAAAATGCACCTAATGAATTCCGTGCTTTTAGTGAAAACCATCACTGCAGAGACAAAATATGTTTATCAATGAAGGGCAATTGGACTCGGATAGCCTCTGAAAAGTTGTTTTCCGAGTTTATTTTGTCCAAATGTTAAGACTTGAAAGCGAAAGTACATTGCAAATGGCGGGTTCTACAGGGGTCTTGTCTTTATACATGTCATGCTTTCAATAACAGCCTTGCAGAGACCATTCACGTCCAACTTGCCCTTCAATGATAAATATATATTATTTCTGCAATGATGGTTTTCACAAAAAGGACAGAATTAAGCAGGTGCATTTCTCTTTAAATATGCCCATTTTCTGATACAATTTTTCTCAAAAAATATCTTTTCAAAAATATTAGTTATCAAGTGATACTTTCTATCTATTAATCAATGTAATTATATTTACATTACTATAATATATTTAATTGTAAACATTTTGACTTCATACTACACATGTAGTTTTGGAGCTATTGTAAAAATAATTTTTTAGACATGTTGACCTTTGACGAAACCTTAAGTATGGTTTTGAAGAATTTACTCCTTGGACAGAGAGCTATGGTTATAAGTTGGATAAATATTACAACTTGCAGAATCAAATCCTAGTTCCTCCATCGTACATTTCAAATAATTAGCCTTACATGCAAAAACAATGTTGTTACACGTGTACCTGCTTTGTCAGCGGGTACCAGAATATAATGATTGTGTAATCTATCTAATTCTAATTTTTACTTTTTCATTAACGAAGATAGAAGGATAAATGGTTTTCATATTGCTCCTCAATCACTTAATGCACAATTACGATATACATTTGATACATTTAATCCATTCTGAGAAAGTGTCATTGTCTTTTTTTTTATATTTGCCTATCGTTTGCTGTTATTTTCTACTGAATTTATAAAACATGCATTTATGAAATTATGACGCCAATTGAAAAATTTGTGTTCCCTAAATTTTTCCTTCTTATATTAAGTGGTTTTCGGGCCTCATCAAGACAAAGGATCATCTAACAGACTTAGACTTTAGTCAAAATTTATCAATTGCAAGGGTTATGGCCACTCCTCCATGGCACCTAATCCCACCTCTGATGTTTTGGAGGTCCATGTTCGCTCTGCTCCTATTTGATATTGTTAAATGGATTTTTGAGCTTAAATACAGTTCGTTATCTCCATGTTTTTCACTGAAAAATATTTATTAAATAACAGATTAATCTCTAAATTAACAGACAAAAAAAACTTGTGTACAGCAACTTTTAAAACATATATTCGTTTGCTTAATTTCTACAACTTTTTACCAAAGCATAAAACTTTTGACTTAAGTTTAAGATGTTTCATGATCCCTGGACCAGAACTTAAATGAATATACTTTTAGGGTGAAGAAGTACATGAACACGTTGTAGAATTAGGCTTGAGATATTCGATAACTAAAAAACTTGAAAGAATAGAACGAAAAGCAACTTGGAAAATGACTTTTGTCCAGAATATGGTAAAAAGACCCACAAGTTTTAAGTTGGTGATTTTTAAGAACATAAGAGTTCATTTCACCAGGTTTTTAACATTTTCTACATACCTAAAATTTTTGACTGAAGTCTAAGTCTGTTTCATGACCCTAGGGCCTCATCTCATCTCTGACATTTACGAACTTTAAAGTTATTACTTTCCCTCTTTTTTGTTTATTGGCAAGCAATAATATTTTTTATCGGTTTTGGCCAATCACAGTTGATTCCATGCGAGGTATGCAGCAAGTGTCAATATTAACGCATACATGAATAAATTCACGTTTTCTTTATGTGTGCTACAGTTTAAATGACTTCAAAAACGGATATAAATTCTTTTTCTTCGGAATAAAGTTTGTTCGTTTTTGGGTGGTTCATTTGTGGTTTAAGCTGCGTCCGACTAATACTTTATTTATTTGTTGACTAAGTAATTTTCTGCACATGCATTCTGGCATTTGTGGACCATATAAGTTCGTCATCAGAATACATGTGTATACAATCAGAATGATTTTAACTTACTTTTTACAATTACAATTTTTTGCAAATAACCTTTGAAATGGTAAGTAAATTGCTGGTCTGTTTGAAAAAGCAACTGTCAATGATGTAAGAAAACATATGTATTTCCAGCTCTTTGTACCGGAAATTGTCATGGACGAGGTACCTGTATAGGACCAGACACCTGCAGCTGTAGATGGGGGTATACCAGAAATGCCTGCCAAAAAGGTAATAGTAGACCCAACACAATGCCATGACGTAGGAATAAACTCATTACAAAATTAATCTATAAAATAACCCACCACAAAATAATTATGTAAGAATACACCTATCACAATATTATTTAAAAATAAAAATTGCAAACTTAAGTCATCACGTAAAAATAAATCATGCACTCACAAAGTTATCACAAAAGTTTATTTATAGGCCATAATCATCTATAGTCAATCTGAGGTCAGTCAAAAGTTCTTTAGAAGATATATGTTATTATCAACCACAATAAAAAAAATTACCAATCTCAATACAGACCCCAATAACATTGTGAAAAAAAAGTCATGTAAATAAATGAAATGAGGTTCACAGAGGCGACATTACATCCTTACCTGAAAACTGAAAGTATTTTTTTTTAATTTAGCTTGAATGACAGATTGCATTACAAGATATACACGTCTAATGAATCCAATCCTTTGTGTACAAATTGATTGACTGATTGATTGTATGTTGTTTTACGTCTCTCTCGAGAATTTTTCACTCTTATGGAGACGCCACTACTTGCCTGTGGAGAGCTGCAAATTTTGTCCTATATTTGGCATCTACGACCATTGAGTAGTGAGGTTTTTTCGTGCCAGTACCTACTGCTACACGGCACCTTGATTTATACGGTCTCATCTGAAGGACCGGTCTCCATGTCCCACATTGGGATTCGAGCCCGCGACGTAAAAATCAACTCAACTCGCGACTCTAGAGCAGACACTCTAACTACTGCATCACGCGGGCAATGTGTACAAATTGAAATATATGTTTATCTGATGTTCTTATTCGAACAATCTCAAACGAACAAGAATATTTAACAGCGTTATTCAAAATCATAACAACACTGATTATGGGTAAATGCTCCAAGACTTGTGCAGCTTATTAAAATTTATTACATACTTAGTAATAAATACAGGATTTTTGCATATGCAATATGCCTGACGTCACCACTTGTTCTATATAAACATGCCATATTTATCAACCTGCAATAAACATATATTTTATCTCTAAATGTATATTTACAATTTTAGAGACTAACCCACTTATTCTACAATATACGTCCATTCTCGCATACTTTGAAAGATCTGGACAGACGAGGGAATTATACAGATCTGTAATAGATTCTTCTGAACCGAACTCGACGAAGGTAGTTAAAATGGGCAAAGCTTAAAAAATTCTTTGTTTGCAGTTGCCGACCTATAATTTTTAGACTGGGTCGGTAGGTAGGGATTCTTTTTTTTGGGGGGGGGGAATCAATTTTTGTTAGATAACAAATAAAAGAGGTTTTCATACACCTACTAGACATGAATAAGCTCACCTCTTGTTATAAACCACTGATTGATAAAAAACGTGTCAAAATTTGAAAAACAAAACTGTTTCAATATTCTGAAAAAAAAAATAAAATTATCAAATGGCTAAAAAAAAGTTTGGGTCGGGTGCATTTTCAGTGGGTCGGTAGGCAACTGCAAACAAACTTAATTTTATTTTAGGCCATGTGGCTAAACCAAAAGGATTACAACTATATAAATGTTACATTTGCCGCTGTCCTCACATCAGCAGACAACCTAAACATTTCAAGAATGAAAAACAGTTTAAAGTGGGAATCATATCTGGAGGCGTTAATATCATTCATCTCAAAATGAGCAGACCAGGTGAAGGTATGTTGACCTCCTTTATATTTAATATATACTGTAAAAGCAGGAATATTTGTTGGGGTTTTTATTTTGTTTATATCGTTGTTTACAATTAGGAACGAAATTACAATTCCCACACGAATTTTTTATGATTATAAATTGAACAGTGTTACTTTTAAACCAACGAAAATCAATGCCCACGAAACCTTAATAATAATAATAATAATAATAATAATAATACTTTATTTAGAGAAGGTGGCCTGATTAGTATGACACACTATTCTTCCCCAGGACCTTCTAATTACAACAACAATATTACAATCAAATATACAAACAACTTAGCAAGTCAATTAAAATACAAGTACATGTTTTATGTCATATGATGATAATGATAATCATAATTAAATAGCAATGATAAAAAAATAAATTAAGATGACATAAAAAGTTATAAATATGTAATATCAGTAAGATTTTACAATACATAAATTATATACATGTGCAAAAGATATAAATCAGAGGTAATCAAGTTCTGTTGGTGAAGATATATTTTTCTACATTTCGTTTAAAGACTGGCAGACTTGGTGCACATCTTATATTTAAAGGTAAACTGTTCCAAATATGAACTCCAGAATATTGGAGTGAATTTTTAAACAAATTTGTTCGGTGTTTTGGTAGGCGAAGGTCAAAATTAGATTCTGAAAGTAAAGTATACGCATTTGAAGTTTGACAAATAAATAAATCTTGTAGGTAAGAAGGACTCTGATTGTTAAATATTTTGTACAACAAGATACATTTATGCAAAGTTACTAAGTCAAATACAGATAACCACCCTAATTTGTCAAATAATGCCTTAGAAGGAGCATCAGGGCAGCATCAAGTATAATTCTAGCGGCCCGTTTTTGAAGCTTATGGATTCTCTCCATGTAACTATGTGGTGCATTACCCCAGATAGTCAGACAATAATTAATAGAAGGTAGGATAAAGGCATTGTAAAACAGTTTTCTAGTTTTCAAAGGAAGAAATTTCTTGATTTTCCGCAAAGTAAATAATTTATATGTTAAAGATTTGCAGACCGAGTCTACATGGTCATGAAAGTTTGGCGTTTGATCTATATGAACCCCAAGTAGTTTTTCTGCTTCAACATTATTAAGGTGTGCATGTAAATTAAGATTTGAATTATTTAATTTCGATTTCCTTTGTTTAGTACCCATCAGCATACATTGTGTTTTGTCAATATTAAGAGCCATTTGATTTTCTAAGCACCATTTTCCAATATTTTCTAAATCAGAATTTAGGGCCGTTTCAATACTAAATATATTATTCTCATAAATATGCAGAGTTGCGTCATCAGCAAACATATCGATATTTGCATGACTAACATGTAAGGGAAGGTCATTAATATACAACAAAAACAAAAGGGGGCCTAATATTGATCCTTGTGGCACTCCTGCTGTGACAGATAAGACATCAGAAGAAGTTGTACCAATTTTTACACATTGTGTCCTGTTATTTAGATATGAGTGAAACCATTTAATTGACAATTCATCAAAGTTGTAGTTCTTTAATTTTTCAATAAGAATGTCATGACTCACTAAATCAAAAGCTTTGCTGAAATCCAAAAATGTTATACCTATATGAGATTACCTTCGTCCATAGCATGCAACCAAGCGTCTGTTAATTTAGTAAGTGCTGTTTGACAAGAGTGAAATTCTCTGAACCCAGACTGAGATTTTGTTATAAGATCAAAAGTGGAGGTAAAATCTCGCATTTGGTTAGCTATGTGCTTTTCAATTAGTTTGGATAGTGTTGGAAGTATAGAAATGGGACGGTAGTTGCTGGGGTCTGCTTTGTTGCCCTTTTTATATACAGGGGTGACTTTTGCTTGTTTCAACTTTGATGGAAAACTACCACTACTGATACTAGCATTGATTAAATGAGTGACTGATTTATTAATGATACTTGCTGCTAGTTTTAGGAGACGAGGTCCTATGAAGTCAATACCTGCAGATTTATTGACATCAAGTCCGTTCAACGAATCAAATACTTCTGTTTCACTGATTGTTGAAAGGCTAAAAAAGTTATCACCAAGTTTAGATTTTGTGAATTGTCTTAACTATTCTGGATTGAATTCGCAGTTTGGTAAATTATTTAGAAGTTTACTTGAGATTCCTGTAAAGTGTTGATTAAAAATATTAGCAATTTCTTGTGAACTGTTAGTTTCTGAGTCATTATGAATGATATGGGAAGGAGTAAAAGTTTTAGTATTAGACGCCAATTGATTTAAATATCCCCACATCTCTCTTGGATTTGAACTGTCTTCAATGGCTGATTTGTAATACAAAGCTTTTGCATTGTCAATCAGGAGTACAACTTTATTTCTCCATATTCGGAAATTTTCATAATCCCCTTTATGGTGATAAAAATCTCGAAAATGTCTAGCTTCGTTTATTTCTTTAGTTAGCCACTTTGGTCTAGTTTCACTCTTAACTCTCTTACATTTTATTCTAGCATGCTTGTCAAGGACGTTATTAAACATTATATAGAATTTATCAAGAATGTCATTAGGATCGTGTAATTCTGTAAGGTTATCAAAATTTTCATTTGTTAGGTCAGTCAGAAAATATGCTTCATTAAAGTTCACAAATAGGGTAATGGTCAGATAAGGATATTGGGGGTACACTAACTTCACATATGTTATCTGGTATGGTGGTATAAAAGTGATCAATAAGAGTACGGGAGGTGTTAGTAACTCTAGTGGGTGCATTAATTACTTGTTTTAGTCCAAATTCCTCTAAAGCAGATGTCCAGCATAGCGGGGGGTCTTTGAGTAAGTCAATATTAAAGTCACCTGTAATAATAATTTCACTGTCGTCACAGCAGGAGGCGATATTTATCTCCCTAGCGAAATCCTCTACCCAGCAAGAGGGAGCAGATGGTGGACGGTATACAGAGCAATAAAAAATAGGTTTAGAATTTTTAAGATTGATTTCTAGCCATATTGTTTCAATATTACTTACTTCAAATTCAGTTTTACGCTTGTAAGTAATATCATTTGAAATATAAACAATAATTCCCCCACCTGACTTAAAATGTCTATCCTTTCTCTCGAAAGTGAATCCATCGATATCTAAACCTGAGTTACAGTAATTATCATTTAAGAATGTTTCACAGAGGCCTAAAATATCGAGAGAATGTTTGTCTTGAAGCAACAATTTGATTTCGTCAATTTTGGGTATTAGATGACATACATTTAAATTTCCAAAACGCAAACCTCTTTTAACCAGTCCAAATCCAGTAATATTACTTTGTGCGCATAGCTTTTTCGGTACATTATCTTTCTGATTTAAATTATTTGGAGGACTTATCTGTGTAACATTCTTAGTTTGGCTACTTTTCTGTATACCGTCATGGACATTGATATTTAAAACATTTTTGTTTTGAGCATTTGTACATTTTTTGAAAATTTTAGGGATATATAAGTGGTCTTCACATGAGCAATCAATATTGTTGCGCTCATCACATAAGCTATTTAAAACAGAGTAAATATTATTTACAGTAGACAACATTGTATTTGGGACATAAAGTTCAGGATCTCTACGATTTTGTTCAACGGCATTTCTTTCTTTGCCGATTTCCTAGAAGGAACAAAACTTTTGTTTATGCCCCATTTTCCTACATTGCCAACACGATACTTTTTTCCCGTGTCTACAGTTCCGAGTAGAATGGCCCTCTTCTCCACAATAGAAACAAAAACTTTTCCTTACTGCAAATGAATCGGCGTGAACACTGCTTTCCTTTTGTTTCAGAATAGGGACATACTGATCGATGTTTTTTAACAATTCAGCTGTGCCTTTATCGGACAAGTGAATGCCGTCTTTCCAGTAGAGCTCATTTGCTTGACTTTTTTGGAAAGATTTGCTCATCGGGATAAGAATAGCTCCGCTCTCCTTGCACACATATCTAATGATTTCATTTACTTCATTCACATTTACATCTCTACGTGGTAAAACTTCGGAGACGTATACTTGTATTCCTGGGTGCCGTTTCCGTAGATCACAAATAATTTCCATGAAGTCGTTTTCAATTGCTTCCGGGTCGCGGTTGCTTGAAACATCATTCCCACCCGCCTGAATGATAATATTACGGAAGGGCGACACATCCATTTTTCCTAATTTTACTTTGATATGTGAAACTTTGGCTCCTCTGTTTGTGGACACTTTCACCGATTTATTCAATCCACGGGTCCTCACTCTTTGCAGGATTGAACTACCAATCAAGAGGGACGATCCCCTTATTGACATCGGTTCTTCTTCATTTTTCGTTGATTTTAGGGTTCTCTGTGTTTCCTCTTCTAATATTGGGGCGCATATCTCTGTGTTAGTGCTTGACTCGGTCACACAATTAACGGTGTTGCACTGCACATGTCTAGAAATGCCGCCTGAATAAGTAAGCCTCTCTGTAGATGTCTCTTTGTGTTTAACTGCCAGCTTGTAGGTTTGTGTACTGGCAGACACTGAGGATTTGGGCTGCATAGAGCTCAATTTTTCTTTTAGTTTTTCTACCTCAAGGGTGAGGAATTTGACAGTATCGGTTAATTGTTTGATTGTAGCTGCACTATTGCAGTTGCTGCATTCATTGAGCTCATTGTTTCTACATTTATTGATACCTTTTGGAGTTGAAGCTGACTGGGGCTGTGGCTGGGTAAATATTTCAGCGATGATAGGTTCCACATCATTTACGAGTTCTTGCAGGAATTTTTTGTACCAGGTGAAAGCTGCATCTCCTTGGATATGGAGGGAGTTTGTAGATTTGTAGAGTGTAACAGTTACAGTTTTACATGGAGTCTTATAAATCCATCCATTTCTATTACTCCGATTGTAGAAAATCAGGTTCTTCTGCAAGAGTCTTGATATTTTAGAATAGCCCTCATCCTCAAAAGTAATGGTGACACTTTCATTATTTAACTTCACTTTCAAATAGTCTGGTATATGCACATCTTCTGTCATCGATTCATTATAACTTGTAACAAATGAATTTGAAAGTCCACTAAAAGAGTCCAGAATTGATCTAAAAAAACTTGTATTTGAACTAATATCCATTATTATCCATTGTGTAGCTGTTATCTTCAATATAATCTTACTAGAGAGAGAGAAGAGCGCCAGAAAACACGTCTGCTCACCTTGACTGTCTTATCTCTTCCAATAGATTACAAATCATCAGAATTTTATTCTCAGGAAAATTTGTGCTTCTACAATTTGTAGATTAAGTACCAAGTTCAATATTATTATGAATTTTTGAAAATACTAGAAATTGTATACACTTATCTTTATAACTAGAAAAGACGCCCTTTGTGAGTGGAAATGAAACCCACCTCTGTGAGAGTCAGCCCAGTTCTCTCTATCCCAGCGTGGATTTATTTCAATGTAACTACACGGATGACAAGTTTGACATGCAGCTGGAACACGGAGACAAGTAAATTCTCTTCAAAATTGTGTGGTAGAGGGGTTTGAGGGAGGATGTCTATTCATTTTTAACTATAAAGTCTCAAATAAATGACATCTAAATATAAAATAAGAACTAGGACTCCTGATTTTGGAGAATGTAATGAAGGTTTTGACTTTTTTATATACAGTTTAACCCTGACAGCTTTTACTAAAATCTGGGGTATTTTTGAAAAAGACTTATTTATTGACGAGATGTCTACAAAATCTACAATGTTTCGCTTCGATTTGGTAAAGCCACATCACTGTCTCCTAGACGGACCATGTGAGGCGAAAGCACTGGATGTTGTGGAAGATGTCACTAAGGTATCTTAAACGTGTTCTCCGATTTATTTCAATTGAACCTTGTTAAGATATACTTCTCTAAAACAGTTTTATTTTTGATATAGAACCATTTCAAGCTTAGTTTGGACTTTCAGTAAGGCGTGGCATTCC